AACGCCATTCCTGGGAAGGGCACTGATCCTGCTGGAGAGGAGAGTGAATCTGATCAGAAGACGATTGTATCACCAATGGAACATTCCACTGGTTCATCTGGAGGTAAAGGGTATCTTGAGGCCTGAGTAAACTTCACATGGATACAGACACTTGCCTCTCTGACCAGTGGACAGGTGGCTATGAGCACAATGTTTACAAATAACCGGATCATAAGTACTAATTCTTTGACCTTTCAAGTAAATGTTATATTTGGGACAGGACTTATTTTATTTGAGATAGCATACTTTTTCAATGAAATAATATACATTTACATGACTTGAAGATATAGGTTGATGAGATGTCTTGCTAGAGCTCAGCTTTGCATTTCATTTTAATGTACAAGGAATCATTCTGTTCCATATATCTGAGATTATTCTAAAGACTGGAAATTACATTTCCCACTGATTTGCCAAGTTCAATACCCATAAAATATTGTTCTATTGCAGATGGAGATCAGTAGAGCAGATTTTATTAGTTTCTTCATGCTTATTAATCACTTGTCTAAATGGTACATACCTAATGAAACCAGTGTTTGGTAGCCCAAATTCTTCTTTGATCTGGACAAATGACTTGATGTTATTTAAATCTATTAACTGGTGAAAATAAGTTTAGGCCAATATCTGAAGCCTGAATGCAATTGTTAAGTTGATATGGATTTAATTGCAGTTTAAAATGATAAGGAGATTTTAATCAATTTAATCTATAATTGTCAGTCTGCATGTGATTGATTCTGATGTTAGCTGTATATACACCACAATTTAGACTGGGAATGAATTGCCATATATGGAAGAAATAAAAACATAATGAATATGTACCAGATATAAAAATCACAAATAAATCGATCTAACAACTTATTTTTTACTAGTTTTTAGTCATGTGAAAACAGATTGCATGGATTTGGGGCAACAAACATTTCAATTAGATTCATTACTGAAAAAAACAGGCCATGAAGTTGAAGGTGTGTCTCACAGGAAGCCCACGCACAGGTGAAGGGAGATCGGGATGCGAATGCGAGTATTTATGAGGCACTTTCCCAACGAAGTTCACAATTCTAATTCCTGTTTCCAAGTTCCTGAGCCAATTCTACCAGTAATCTTTGTAGTTCCTGGTCACTTATGTGTTTCGCTTTCCAACTGCACAACAGGAGCCTTGACATTTTAGCTAATTAAACACGATGAAACTCAGAAAGCTTGTAGGTTAAAATTCACACAAAATTTTTAATTAAACTACACCAACTGCCCAAACCAATGGAGGATGACTAAGTCATTTTTGCTCATTATTTGATAGTTATTGGAGTCCAGCACTCTGTCACACGCAGTCCACTCACAGGTGAATAGTTATAGGACAAATAGGAGAATAAGAGGTTTATTAGACTAAGACTAGTAGACTAAGACAACTGAGGGAATGAAGAGGCCACGGACACCACCAGCAGCAATGAGGACGATGACACAACAACTGTAACAAATGCTTGACTCATCAGCCAGGGCCTAAGCCCTTACAAATAGGGGGAAAACACAGGCACAACACATGAGGGTAATCAGGGCGGGAAAATCGGTAATTACGATACACAATAGATAACACAAAGGGTGCAAACAATAGGTAAGTCTGACAGTACGTTACATTTCAGAAAAGGCGGGAGCTGAAGAATGAAATCTATTATTTCATTCTAACACCATACTCATTAGAAAAAATGTAATTACAAATGAGAAGTTAATCCGAGAATATCACCTGGCCAGTAAAGATGGTGTAGAGGATGGGGAGGCCAGGTTCACTACAATAATCTGGTTCATGTTTGCCCAGATACAAAAAAAATGCAATATCTTTAGATTTTGACAGCTTGTGAATGTGATTTTAGCATGAAGTGCATGAAAAACAAACATGCAAATAGGTCCACACATCTTGATTCATTTGGAGATTGATGATTTTGTTTTGCTCATTTGACACTCGATTTACTAAACCTGCACAAATTTGCTTAAATTCCCTGGACCTACTACCTACTAGCACCCCTGCTGAGATTTTCACAGGCCTTCAGCTCCATTGTTCTCCTGCTTTTGTTGTGCAAACACACCCATTACCTGTGAGGCCTGGCACATTTGCATTTGCTTACTCAGAGCAGCTCAAATCTAAGGCAGACCAAACCTCTGTGTGTGACATGGAAACCACCATAGCCTGCCATATCTATACAAAATATCCCTCACACTGACTGACCTGCAAATATGAAAGACACACATCCACAATATATGGATACACCAGTCTGTTTCAAACTTTACAGCGTTTGCAGACCCAGTGTCCATCGTCCCTGCATTTGGCACAGGTGAATTTCTGACATGTTGCACAGGTAAACCTGCTGCGATTCCTGTTGCAGCTCTCTTGCACCTGGCACTGCGATGTCTGTACAGGCCCTGGCACAGCAGCTGCAGCAGCTTCAGCAGCCTTCCTCTCTGCCAATATTTCCTTGTGTTGCATGAATCGGCAACGGAGTTCCTTAGCTAGAAGACTCAGAAACAATCTTATTTTGCCTGTCCACCCTGTACATGCCTTGTACAAAATGTAGGCATTGACCGCCACCAGGTCCAGCATATTGTAAAAAACCGTCTTGTTTTTTTGTTTGTTTTGTTTTGTTGTTTGATTACAGTATCGGTCTGTCATCATTTGCCATGTCAATGGAACACTGCCAAGAGTGCCAATTGCCCTCTGATTGCCTTTTGCTGCATGAATCGGCAACAGAGTTCCTTGGTTAGAAGCGCAATCAGAGGGCAACTGGCACACAAAAAACAGAATTCTCTGGTTGTGGGGGATGTGAGGTGGGCAAATGAACTAAATCACTTGTTCAACAGGTTTGATTCATCTGCCCCTGCCTTTCCACCCATACAGCCCTCACTCATGCAGTCCCCAATATCTGCTACAGACACCCCTACCCCCACCTCTGTTCCACCTCAGACACTTCCTCTACACTTCACAGTCCTCTACACTTCACACTGCTTCCACACTCTCTGCTCACTGCTCCCCCCACAACCCCCAACCACGGCATCCAGCACCTTTAGCCACTGCCAATGGTACCTTGGTGTTCTCATAACACAAAGGCACTCTGCAAAAAAGGGCAGAACAGGCTGTACCTGCTGCAGAGGCTCAGGTCTTTTGGAGTGCAGGGGCCGCTCCTGAGGACCTTTTTTGACTCTGTAGTGGCATCAGCCATCTTTTACGGTGTGGTCTGCTGAGGCAGCAGCATTACCGCTGGGGACAGAAGACCACTGAACAGACTGATCCGGAGAGTCAGCTCTGTTCTAGGATGCCCTCTGGACCCGGTGGAGGTTGTGAGTGACAGGAACATGGTGGCTAAGCTGTCATCCCTGTTGGATAACCTGCCACCCCATGCAGGAGACTCTGAGGGCACTGAGCAGCTCCTTCAGTGGCAGGCTCCTGCATCCACGATGTAGGAAAGAGAGATTCAGAAGGTCTTTCCTTCCAATCGCTGTCAGACTCTACAACAAAGTCCATGCAGCTGACCCCACACACATAGACTAACAAACACACACATCCAATACACCATGGTAGTTTCTATGTGCAGTATTTCTCATATGCAATATTAGTTCTTGTAAATCCCTGTCACTCCACAGTGTTGTACATATATTTATATATCCACTCTGTACATATTATACATACACTTTATACATACTGTGGGACTCAATAGAATTATAAAGAACATACAATGAATAGAGGAAAAGGAGAATATAGCTTAAAGCAGGGCATGATGAAATTGAGGGGTTGATTCTAAAATAATGCAGCTAACAGAAATCAGGAACTGACAGTGTGCGAGCAGGTCAGGGTGACCTCGTCTCAGACAGCTGGAAAACAGGAACACATCCTATAAGCAATACTTATTTTAACTCTTGCTTAACATAAAGGGGGGGGGGAATGTACTCACTGACGAACTAGAGCAAATGTCAAAATATGTTGTAATCACGTAGATGGAAAAGTACCGAGAAGGGGGGGGGGACACCCCGGAGGGCCTTTAAAGAGACAGAGCCGACAACTATGGTTAGAGCTTCCTACTGTACATGCTGAATGTATGTCAGAGTGTGGCTCCCAGATCGATCTGAATAAACTGTTGACGTGCAACTACTCCTCGTCTCTGGTGTGGATCCCTTCTCATCACGGACCCGGAGGGTGGCTGAACCCAACAATACATACATATATTTATCTGTTTACATATACATACATATATATACACACATCAATATTTTTCAATACACTTGTCCATATTTGTGTCTCCAGATTGCTTGTATAGTGCACTTTTTATACTGTACTGTTAGTACAGTTTTTATTTTTGCTGCTCTTGTCTTGCACTGTCCACTTTTCTGCCATGACGATGCAGATTTTCCACTTGTGGGACTAATAAAGACAGATTTGCTGCAATCTCTGACATCTGGACACGCTTCACCAAGAACTGTGCTGAGAGTTTCACTCCAGGAAAACACATGACCATAGACGAACAGCTGTTCCCTACCAAGGTTCATTGTCCACGCAGTATATCGCATCCAAACCGGACAAATTTGGGATCAAGTTCTGGATGGCCACGGATTTGGAGACCAAATACGTCTGCAACGTGTCCCCTTACTTGGGAAAGGACCCCAGTCGTCAGAAGGGGGAGAGGCTGGCAGAGAACATTTGCATTTCAAATGCAAATGTGCCAGGCCTCACAGGTAATGGGTGGTTTGCACAACAAAAGCAGGAGGAGAATCGAGCTGAAGACCTGTGAAAATCTCAGCAGGGGTGAAGAACACCTCGGGACTTGCACCAGAAAATAAAAATTCTAGTGTTGAGAGGATTCAGCTTTGAGTACTGCAGCACAGTCCTGAGATTCTAACACTGGAAAATCCTGAGCAGTGAATCATTGATGTTTAACCAACACTCTTTGTCCAATAGGACATCTTGGTTTCCATTTATTTATTCTGTTACTGGAACAGAATAAGGCAAAAGGCTTTAACTGTTAAATCTCAGTCATGCAATACTGCAGTTATCATATTTCTCCCCTTTTTCAAACTATACTTTTCAAAAGGTTAAATGAATAACAATGATGGCCCCACTCTTAGTTATATAGCGCAATTGTCAAGAAAAAAACTAATATTTTTCTGACAGTGACAGCTGGTGGTGAAGGGGCCTTAACACTCTCAGCTGCCTTAATAATATAAGACTGAGGTTTGATCGTTTCGTTTAACTGGGGTGACCCAGGGGTTGCAAAGGATGTCGAAGTGGCCCTAATGTATTGTTAATGTGCCCCTATTTTGCGTAACCTTTACAGTCAAGTACGTATACAGGGGCGGGGTAATAATGCACCCCCGCTAACTGCCGAGCGACCCCAGTAGCACCCCCTACAATAGTGTATAACATCACAAAAATGATTTAAATACTGTGCAAATGTGTTTTTCTTTTTGGGACCTCCATTAAATGTCAGAAGCGAGGTACTTCGGCGTATCAAACCTTTCGTTTTCGCTAACAGACCATCGCGTTAACATTCACCCATCAAGAAAACAACGGGACAGTCAATAATCCTTACAGGTGCCATGCTGCTGCCACCCCCCAAAAGAAGAAACCATAAAACCCATAAATGTGTTCAGATCCTAGCGCCGCCCCCAATAAAAGTCCTCTCCTACTGTTTAACTTTCGCTTTCATTCATACTGGAGGAACGATCTCTCGACGCGAAAGGAAACAACGGCCAATAAATATAAAATGATCATGAACAATCTGGTAAATAACGACAGTAATCTATTATATTATATTCAAGAAACCGTATTAAACTGCTGAAATATAGCTATAACTAAAAATATAACTAAAACTGTAGATTTAAGAAATGACAGTTAGTGGCCTAGTTATTCAGTAATTACGTCGTTTTTGAAGCCTAAATTTAAATGCGATTAAAATCGCAACAAAACACGATGTTTGTTATTACGGCTTAACGTGTAGCCTACCAACACCGCACTATAGATATCGTTTTAAAACTACTACATAACAAAAAGCCACAGGCATCTACTTATTTTTGTTCAAGAATTTAATATTGTTTTCATGACTATTCGAAGAACTATGTGCTATATAAAGGTTACTAGATCACAGTATAACGTACGTGGTTTTAATGTTTAAAGTTTCATTTTCGATATTTCAGAGCAATTTGACTTACGACCGAATCAAGTACGGATTTTATGCTACATGTAAGTCTGCCGCACTACACGATGGACTTAAGAAAAAAAATAATGTTTATTTGTTTACTATTGATATTTGTGGGAAATCAGTGCATTTAGAGAAATATTTTAAATGATTCACTTTGATTCAACAAAAACATTCTCCTTCATCCTTCAGAGTATGAATGCTTAAATAATTCAACTGGCTTATGATGGAAATATTTTACAGGTTTCATTTGCTGTCTGTTATTTGGATATGGCAAGTATCAATTACATCTAATTCAACAAAAAACATTTTCCTCTATCCTTACCAACCTGGATGATTAAATAAACTGTTGGCTGTTTACTACAACTGACTCGCCATGGAAATATTTTGCAGGTTTTTCTCTCTGGGATCGGCGTGTCGTAATATGCTGCTGCATCATCTCTGGATGTCTGTTCATCGCACACAGAATCTATTACACTCAGGATTCCTCCTCACGTTTCTCAGGTTTGTCATCTTCCATTTGAAATGATTCACTTTCAGTCTAAATCAGCAAAAAGTACAATGTTCCTGCATTTTCAAACTAAATTAATTTACAAACTAAAGTTATATATTGCTCCATAGTATTTCTTCCAAGGTGAAAATTCACCATCCTGTTCATGACAATTGTAACTCATTTTAGAATTCTGTTTCCCTTCCCCAGTAAAAGCCAATGTGCTGGTTGCTGGAGAAACTTTCCGGACCCATGAAACCTTCATACAAAAGCTGAATCTACAGATAAACCCCTGCAGTGCAGAGAGCAGCAGCGTCATCCTGCTCTTCTGTCCTGTTGTTTCTCGGATTGGGACAGACATGGAGGCAGCAATGGCCAGAGTTACAGGTGAGACAGGATTCAGTCACTGCTGTATGTTACCTGGGATCTGACAAACAAGCAAAAGAACTACAACTGACAGACAGTGTGTCGTCTGTCTCTTCAGAGAAGCAGCTTTGGTTTAATAGACACTGCATTTCAGAAGTTTCCCTGTGAAAGTTAATTCAGATCAACAATCCATCCATATCTGCTAAGTTCTCAGTTTTTACAATGATATTTGTTTTGAAAAACAATATAAATTAATTTGTAGGTAAAATAAAGTAAGGTTGGGTGCTGTTTTGTTAATAGCAGTGATTCTAAAACATTGCGCAAATTTATAGAGTGTTTAAGCCTGAACCACAATCTTACCAAGTCTCTTATTGACAGGTTCAGTTGGACTCTGAATATCTGTATTTGCTTACTTCAAAGGAGCTTACCCTTTATGATATTTCCAGAGGTGGAAATTCCCGGTCCAGAAAGTAAAAATCCAGACCAAGGTTTTGTTTCAACCAACCAGTTGAGTACTTTGTGACTCTTTATACTCAACTGGTTAGTTGAAAATAAATCTTGGCCTGGATTTTTACTTTCTGGATCCGAAATTTCCACCTTAGTATATTTCCATCCATCCATCCTTGACAAAAAAGTGTACAGGATTGAGGGCATGATGGGATTGCAGTCTATCAGAGGGGCCACATTCACTATATGTCGGCAATTTAGAGAGATCAGTTAGCTTAACTGCATGGTTTTGTTCTGGGGGAGGAAACCCTGAAGGACATGAGGAGAACCTGCAAGCTCACAGAATGAGGGGCAGGAAACAAACACTGGAGGAGTGAGGATATGTTGGTAGTCACTGAGCCTCACATTTTTATACAATAAATACTTTTAAAACGCAGACATATATAAAATATCTAAATATACAGTCAAATGGATGCATGTCCTGGGTGTAGAAAATGTTGTCATGGTATTAAGAATCCAGCAGTACCTTCTTTCTCCAGATATTTTTTAATGATAAAAATTATTTTTTAAAATATTTTTAATTACCCTGCAATTTTTTTCTTTTCTCACCCATCATAAAATATGCAATAAACTATAGAGGGGCAGCAACAGCATCTATCAATACACATACTGACCTGTTTGGTTTCTTTCTTCCCTAGGAAACAAACCTGTCATCCTGGTGCTCATGCACCACTGTCACGATCCCAGTCACATGACCAACACCACAGTGCAACCATGCAGGGGCAACATAGTGCAAGTCGTCCACTGTGCCTTTCTCGAATATGGTGGGCTGCTGCAATGCAGAGAAAACAATCAGGCCGCCTCTGAGGTCCGTATGATGTTGCAGAAATACCAGTGAATAAAGAGACCCTCTTCAGAGATGAGATTTTAATCAGTATAATCAGTTATTTGCAAAGAAATTGTGTGATTATTCAGCTGGGGAATTTAACTGTGTATGGAGTACAGTTTAATTGGGGAAGGCCGGTCATATATGCATATACTGTGTACATATACACATTTTACACTGGCCCCTGTAAAAAAAGAGGTTATCAAGTTGTTATTGGGAGATTATGTATGATGGAGAAATGAAACAAAAAATGTTTCAAGGTTCTTTGTTGTCACCTGACCATGTAAGAAGACATGAGTACAAACATTTCTGTACCATGCCGTACATGGCCACCGTGACGTATCGTTTGTCCAGGGCCACCATGGAGACTGTAATTAGGTAAAAGCAAAAATAAATACATAAAGACATCAACTCATCATCCACACCTCTGTCATACATTCAACATGCCAATAATACCCCAGCCATAAAAGTTTATATATATATTTATAGTTATTTGCTTTGGAGGAAATAAGACATCTTACAATTTTTTATTTCACAGCATGTCCTCTTTAGTGTACAACAGGAATAAATACGTCTCCTTACATCAGTGAAAAGATAGATGCAAAAACAAAATGTCCACTACAATGGACATAAATGAATGGGTGGGGTCTCAGGATGAGATATATATATATATATATATTACATATATATGTATATTTTACATATATATGTAAAATGAAAGTGCTGTGCAAAGTGCAAAGTCATCTAAGTCATTATGGTTCATGTTAGATGTATCTTAATTGTGTTGTGTGTGACTGAAAATTTAAACACTGAAAGCTAATAAAAGTGTATTAATATGCACACTAAACCAGTGTCATGATTGATGTCCAGCCCATGCCTAGTGTCTCAGTAAATTTCACCTGGTGGGGGGGGGCTCATTTGGCTGAGCAGGTATTGCAAAATATTTTATCTCAATTTTTTTTTAATATCAATTGATATCAATAGTCATCACTTCAGGCTTCTATTTTTTTTCTTAAAATTCCCCTTAAACAGATTCTGAGCAAGAAAAAAAAGCAACAAGTTGATTTAACTACAAACTGAAACCTAATTTTAATAAACATTTTTTTTGTGGTGGAGCAGAAGGTTTTTGATGACTCTGTACATTCAAATATGATCTTTGCATTTAATTGACTTATGGCAGTTACACTGTAATCCCACATGAACTCAAATAAATTAAGTGTCTTGTACATAAATCCCAACATGATAATGTAAAATTTTCCAGTTGCTGAGCTGCCCGGAAGGGAGTGATAGATTAGGAGGAAAATGAGTGAAGAAAAGGGGTAGGGAGAGAGATTAAAGAGGAGGAAAGAGAAGAAAAAAAACAAACAGTGGGAGAGAAAGGCTAAGAAAGACAGGAGTAACGTAAAA